GCTGAGCCTTGCAAGGCACTGCATGTACATTGGAAAAGAGCTGACCCGGTGTTATCTGGGGTCTTTGAGCATGGGAACACCTCTGGCTGCAGCATCAGCAGCAGAGGGGGAGAGGTGCCTCCAACAGCTGTGGTGCAAGAGCCATGTACTTCTCAAATAGTGATTAAACTGTCAAAAGCAGGCTTGCCTGGGCTCCAGGAAGCTTGTTCTTGGCGCTCCACATGGAAAGACTGTCATTCCTCATGCCATACCCATGGCATGAGTAGCCCAGAGCACGGCCAGAGTGCTGTGAGAGTCAGTTCCAGATGGGTTTGTGCAGCCTATTACACGGTGTACACTTACTTTCAGTGTCTTTCTGTGCTTGGAAAGAGAGCAGTATTCCTGGCTCTTTTTCCTGGTTTCACAGCCATATATTCCTACAAGGTTTTTACCCTGGCTGGTATGATCATGAAGGAAATAGTGCAGTAGCCCCTCAAATTAAGGGAAAACAGCAAATCAAAACACATCAGTCTCCTGAGCCAGAGTCCCAACTACCACAGGGTTGGGAAAAATGCCATGCACGTGATTTTGCTGCATGCTAAAATAAAGAGAAGGGAAATGAAAAAATATATCATCATGTTCTTTAAAAATTTGTACCTACAGAGTTGAAGCAACCACAAGTGATGCTGTACAGATGGTTTTTCTTTTGCCAGGGAGAAGTGCAGTGAGGCCAGAGTCTTTTAAGCTGTCATATATATAACTGAAGATTTACAGTTGGAATCAGACTTGAAAATGTAAATGGCTTTTCAATTGCAGAGTCTGGTCCATCATAATGGCTTTCATTCAAAGCTTTGTCTGGATAGAACAACAGCTGTTTTGCCTGTGGTTTTTCTTGCCTTATTTTATTTTTAGAATTTTCTCATATGTAAGATGCCACAAGATGAACGCAGACTAGGAGACCTCATGGTGATGTCTGAAATAAATATAATGCTCTCCTTCTCCACAAAGAGAGTTAATTCAGCTAGTGAAGAGTCCTGACCTGGACTTTTGACCACCTTCCCACTCCTAACATGGCTAATCTGGATAAAATGGTATGCAGAGATCCAATCTGCCTTTGAAAATTTTTTTTCCCATGAAATCACCAGCTGGTGACTGCTGGGAGTCCCCAACTTTTGCATCTTAAAAGTTGGGGAAAATCAGTGGTTGGTCATCCAAAAAGGCTGCCATTAAAGCAAATTCAAGGGTATTTGGAATTTAAGTGTCTGTGGTGTCCAAATTCAACAACTGTCTGTTTTTAAAAATTAAGGTACCTCCTTTTTATATCACCTTTTTCAGCATGTGTACATTTCTGCGGCTTTTGTTTATTAAAGTTTGTTTATTAAAAATCCATGTTTGACTTCATAAAGTGCACCTGTTCAAATGTTGATACCTGTTAATATAGAAACAGGAGCTGTGAGTTCAAATACTACTGTGGACGTATTTTGCACTGCAGTGTTTTGTTGCTTGGAGACCTACTGTATGTTCTTACTTTTGTTCTTTCTTCCAAAGCTGAGTTTTGTTTTTCTAATCTAGATGGAAAGCTAGAAAATATTCTGTGTTTCAAAACTTGTGTAGGAGGAAAAGGACATGTAAGAAAAACCAACCAACCACCAAAACAAAAGCCTCAACCCAGCTCCCAGAAGATCTGGAGCCACCAGGAATTTTTGTTTGTACTAGGAAAGTATTGCATGACTTCAGGCACCAACTGAATGACATTCCTTTCTTGCAAAGCAGGGATGTGTTCTTTTCATAGCTGAGAATGGGAATTATAAGAACCACGACACTGCCCCTGTTATGTTGTTTCTGAGAAGAGACCTCCTCTGTGGTTGATCTTACTAGAAACCACGATGAGGACATCAGGGTTCATTACACTCCTCAGTCATTCTCTATATTTTTCTCTTCTACTTCCTGAGCTGTCCCTTTCTCTTTTCTCTGTTCCCCTTCCATCATCAGCTCTTCTCACTTTATCTTTTCTCTTTCTTATCTCCTACACTTTCTTTTGAAACACAGCAGGAAAGCAGGGTTGCCCCAGTCTGTCAGATGATGGACCAGTGACAAGGCTGTGCCTGTAGGTAAGTTTGCTTCTACAAGCAGATAGCACCAAGCTGTCTGTTGTTCAGATATCAGTTCATGCTGTTCTCACAGGCAATAATCCAGGAACATTATTTGCCTGCTACAGTGGGATACTGCAATGCCAAGGATGCTTTGTCTGTTTTCTACTTCCAGGCTTTTATTTTGACATAAAAAAACAAAGTGGACAAAAATACATTGTTGCCATTGAGAAAAATAATTCATCATCTGTTTTATATGAGTGTGGGTAATAGAGATGGAATTAAAGAAATGTCATCTTTGCAATATGCCCAGACTTCTGAATGAGAGGGATTCCTAAACAAAATTCTTCCAAAGTCACATTTCAGACTTGTAGCTTCCATCAGCAGGACCTCTGGCAGGGCTGGTAGGAGCATGACTGCAAATACGGGAAGTTTGGATGCAATTCTTAGAGCCTGGAATGATACTGATGACTGAGCTGTGGATTTGTGCCTTGACAGGACAGATAGAAAAAGTAGAAGTCACACGCTAATCTCTGAATTGGAGATTTTCATCTCTTGAAGATCAAGGACCTAAGTATAACCTGAACTTCGATTCTGCTCTGGTGTAAACCCAGAATAAGTGTGCTTAAACTCAGATATACAGACTGATTTTTAAAATGCTTTATAAAATGTGTTACTGCCTTATAAAAAGCCAGGCACTTGTAACCTACTCTAATTCAGCAGGAAACCACCCTTTATACCCATTTTGTTGCTCTCTGTTCTCTTGCAACACTAAAAAAAAAAAGAGTATGGAAACTTCCATTATTCATCAAGATGCCTAGAGTGTCCTCAGATAATCCCTTGTGGGGCTGGATGGTGGATCAGAGCCAGGCTCTGTCATCAGGGCTCCCCAGCTGGTCAGAGGGATGTGTTTGTTCCCAGCCACCCCTTACTGTGTCCCAAGATGAATGGCTCCACACTGACCACTACAATTACTTGACAGTCCCAGAAGAGATGCTGTTTAAGCTAAAGGATGACACTGGAACCAGAACAAATGTGTCTAAACTGGACATAATTGCATTCACACTGGTTATTAAAAGATTATTCCTAATAAAGTTTTTGAAGAGCGGCCAAAATGATTAAAGGGACAAAGCAACCCCTAATTATTTTTAAAGGATAAGTTGGTATGTTTTTGGGAAGATTTGTTGAAGTTGAGCTGCAGAGAAGTCAAAGGTCTCAGCAGTCCTTTACCTTTCTTGTTTGTGATCAAGGGGTCTTTAGTAATTTAGTGTCAGGTGTTAAATCTTACCCACACAGGACATTGCTCTACTCTTCTGGTGTTCCTCTGCTGTGATCACACTGTCATCCTCTGCTCTCCAAAACAGCAGCAGAAATGGCTGCCTCCCATATGCAGGGGGGTGGGGGAAGGACACCATTCTGTTTAATTTAGCATTGAAAAGCCCACTCCCCTAAGGTCTATGAAAAATAATTTGCTCTATGCCAATATTGGTTTCACTGGAAAAAGTCAAAGTAACTTCTAAAAATCACCTCCCTGAGAATCAAAAACAAAATCTCTAAAACAGGACATCAAAATGAATCGCATTCTTGAAAATCTCCTTTTTCTTCCAGTCACAAAGTGGGGCTGGCAATACTTACATGCCTCTGGGAAGTTCTCTGGTAAGAAAATCATCATGGCATGCAAGATCTTCTCCAAAAAGGGCATTATTTGCCTAGTAATTTGTTTTTATTGTTTTGGACTAAAAAAACCCCAAAACACCTCCACACAAACTTTGTAGCATTGCACTGAGTTTATTTTGAAAAAGAAATCAAAGAATGTTTTCTTCATCTCTGAGCCAGATGGGAAGAAAAAACAAATGTATTCCACCATATGAAAGAAAACAGATGAAAACTTTCAAAAATTTTTTATCCAAGTTTTTTGGTTTTTTTTTCCCCACTAAACAGCATGGAAAAAATGAGGTGGAGATGGTGAATGAACAAATAGACTTTGGTTTTAGGAAGGCCTGGTTTCTTGGGAGCATGGGTTTTGTCTGTAAGGCAGTTTATGACCACATTTATAGATGAGTGTGGGTAAGCACTGGGAACTTCCTCCTCCAGCTCCTGCCCAAGCCCTGGGGTGCCCAGGGTGTCCCAGCTGGAGGGAGTGCCAGGCATGGACAGCTGTCCCACTGCCAGCCTCTCACCTGGGTGAGCCCCGACACCTGCACAGGGCAGCACAGAGCCTCCTCTGGGGACAGCTGGGTGCTCACGGAGGAGCTAACATCTCTGGGGTGCACAGACATCCACAGAAGTGAGGGAGGGGGAAAAAAAGAAAGTCTGGAGGCTGGGGCTGGAGACTTCTTGCTCCCTTTGGATGCTACAGAGATGTGAGCTGCTGTGCTCTTAGGCAAGGAGCCTGCACTGGGGAAAAGTGGTTTTGTTTTCTCACACATGAATTGACTAAGCCGCCTTTCCCTTTCTCCTTGCAGATGTTTCTTCCCACAGCCAATGGCTGCCCTCTGACCAGCTCCTTGCCTTGCTAGTGATCAGACACCAGTTTCTGCTACTTGCTAAAAGCAGAGTAGCTACTTGCCAGGAACAGAAAATTAAAATGAAGGTCAGCCATCTGAGAGAGAGAGAGAGGAATAGCAAGACCAGATCAACCATTATAAACAGACAAGCCATCATAATGGCGAATGTGGGGACTGATGCAACTTAGCTCAGGACATCCCTCACCTGGAGGCTGATGTGTTTGGTGTGCTAGGACAGTAAGCAGCAAAGGGCTTCAGACATTCTTAAGGGTCTTGTTCAGATCAGACTGTGAAAACCATGTTCCTAGCCCCTATGTGGTGTGAGAACAAGGCACTTAGCCTGCAATTACAGGATAAGATAGCCACAGTCATGCTCAGAACCAGGATGGTGTAAGTGAAAACAAAGGCTTTACTGGAAAAAAACTTCATCAGTTTGATTTTTAATACCTATGAATGTCCTGGCTCCACATCTCTCTGATTTCCACATCCCTCTTGGTTACACACACATGCACAGTTAACAACATTCATTTCCATGTCTCCGCTTAGTGATTCCTTTATTGGGACATTTGCAAGTATTAATTATAGACAACAAAGGAAATGAGAGTTGAGATTTATAAACTCTAATCAGCTGAAGGCATTTCCAAATAAATTAACGAAACAAGTCAGAAATGACATTAAGAAATCCAGAACTTAATGTAAATCACAATGACTTTGTACCTTCTCTGCCTTTCCTTTTTTTTCTTCCAACACTCACAGTGCTTGCCAGGGTACTTGCATTAAACTTGCATTTAATTTTATGTAAAACAAGAAGGATGATGGGAATTTGTGTTTAATACAACAAGTTACAATACTCGTGCATAAGAAGGAAAGCAAAAACTCAAGCTAGGACAAAATAATTTGCTGTCACTTAAAACTTTCCATCCAACCTGCATTATTACTCAAACCATACAGAAAGATTTGATGGGGATATTTTCCCATTAAGGAGTGGCAGGTCTGATTTTCATGACAATTTTTTGGCCCATTCTAACATCCTGCTTGCGCTCCTGCCAATCTGTTCTTTCTGTGACGTTTTCCTGAGCTGATTTAACACTCTCTTGGTCCTCTCAATGATTTCAGTCCTTGTTGCTATTGGACACCTCTGTTTCCTTCCTGCAGGAATACTAGGTCAAAAGGATGGTCTATCTCAGCACGCCTGGCTGCTCAGGCCATATTTTGAGGATGACTGGACACATCAGGCACGCAACTGCAGCATCCCTCTTCATCCAGTTTTGTCTACCAGCTGCAGTGTTTGATTCAAGTGTGTGAACAGAGGGTGTGAGCACAGTCACGTCTCATTTCTCAGTGTCCTCAACTTGTCATTCCTCTGACTGGAGGACACTACATAACTCTTGGATAATCTGATCTTGTTTAAATACCATCACTGCTGTTGCTGGAGGAAGAGAAGGATGAAATCTGGGCAAGGAAGCAATATAGCTTGGGTTAAACAGAGATTTCTCATTCACTTCTTTTGGTGACAGAAGTCTGTGACATCAATAAAAAGCATGAAGAATGTAATTTCATGTGGTAGATGTTCAAAACAGGCTTATTTCACCTAAATAAGCCAACGTTCAAAACAAAGGTAGCACTGCTTCCACTTCAGTGTGGCTCTTCAAAGCTCCACTGACCAGGGTTTGTGAGGTTCTCTGGGCACACAAAATACTAGTTTTGTACCTCATCATCCAAACCTAACAGTTTAACATTATCTCCACAGACAATGTGTAAATATATATGTAAACACTACAGCATGTAGAACATGCTCGGTACAGCATGACAGCACATGGCAGAATCAAGTTGTATTCAAACACTTATGAAAAAGCCAAAAGAAAAGGCTCACAAAACCCAGACTGTCTGAAGACAAGCCCTGCCTCCATGATGCTGACACAGGGTTTCTGCAGCTGTAATACATAGACCTTTCACTTTTAATTAAGCAGATGCAGTTTTTCTGTTGTTCCTGTCTCGTATATAATTTGTACCCACAGGACAGATTCCCAAATGTAACATTTTGTCTATTTTGAAAAAAAAAAAATTGAAATTAAAACACTGGAGGGAATGTGAGATGTCGGAAATTTAATTGGTTGATCTTAGGAGCAGTATTTGAAAATCTGAAGTACAAAATCTTGTCTCTTTCCAACAGAGCTGGAGTATTTCATCAAACTTATCTGCATTCAGCCAGGGTAAATGTCAGGTTAGGAGGCAATGGAAAAACAACTCTCCTTCCCAAGAAGCCAAAACAACTTCCTTCATTGTAGAGCATGTTGCCATGAGAAGGGCATAAAAACTGGAAACAAATACCAAGGTTTCTGCTCATGAATTAATCTGCTAATTTTTAAAATTCCTCATAAGCAATATTGCTGCCTAGACAATGGCTCATGAAATTGTGGAGGAAACTGTCTGGGTAATGATATAATCTCTTTCTGCTTTGCAGCATATTTTATTTTCTGCTTTGTTTGGGAGACAAGTACTGGTCCAAGAAAACTGAGAGATCGATTTACAAAGCACTTTGGTGAAGTGCAAGCTTACTAGACTTTTCTGAGTATGGCATGTTTTTCTCACCAAATCTTGAAATCTGTCTTAAAAACAAACATATTTCAGTGTGTGCAGCTTCTTTGTTTCCCTTTTCAAAAAGTCTGTCACCTGGGTTTGACCTGCAGTATGTGTGGCACCTACTGGGGTAGAATTCCTTATGAGAAGAGAGAAGGAATGAAAATATTTCAAAATTATTATTCAAAATCCGATATTTACTTCCATGGAATTTTCTCCTGAGTGGAAGGAATGTAAACTGGCAGGTGAAGGAAGCAAGGAAGGAAGGAAGGAAGGAAGGAAGGAAGCAAGGAAGGAAGCAAGGAAGCAAGGAAGGTTGGTTTTATTAAAATGGTCTTTCCATAGTACCCTGATGAAACACTGGCTGTGATCAGAGCTATAATGAGTATCTAGTCCTTAGTCAATTGTTACACATGCAGACTACACTGCATACACTAAGGAAAACGCTATCTAAAATCTGCTTTAAAAGTTATTTAACCAGAACAAATCATCTGGGAAAGTAAAAATATTTCTAACTGGAAAAATATTTCTCTATAGCTGAGCTAGGCCTGACAGCAAACCTTAATGAATTATTAGTACCTTTATTGTTTTCTTTGGCCCCTGTGCACTATATTTGTAAAAAAAGTCAGTAAAAAAGAGAACAATTGTAAAAAGCAAATATTTTGTACAAAAATACAAAGTTTTAAAAGCTCTTAAAAGTATATTCCATATTATTGATAAGAGTTGGACTATATATATATATTTATATAAAATCTATATATTTGTGTATCTGTATAATTTTCCTACATTTGGGATTTTAGCAAATAAAGCAACTGTTTACACAGTTGCTTTGTATGTTTTTCTATATGAGTGACCAACAATCTTACTCAGATTGACAGAATGTCTTTTCTCAGAAGACACAAGCTGTTTATGGATGTGGTTACAGGTTGGGAAGAAAATCTAAAACAGAATTAGTCCAACAGTATTTCCTGATGCTGAGGGTCAAAAGGCCTTAAATAATTACAGAATACTGGACAAGAGTTACTGCTGAATTCCTTGATGCTTTTAAATCAGTTTTCAGTGCTTGCTTTTTTCTGTTTTCATTTTTTTTCAATTTTGGAAGACAGTGTTGCTCTTTCCCAGGATTTTCTTCTTCTTTACATAAATTTCCTTAATATGAAGGTATCTGTAAAGTCACAGCCTATTACACTCCAAGAATTTGCCCTACAGTATGAGAGAAACAAAGAAAAACAAAGAAAAAAAATCCTGTAAAAAGCCTGTGAAGATTAAACAAATTTCCAAAAAGAAAACTTACAGAGATCAAGGTATGTAAAAAATATGGGCAGACTCATATTCAGGTCCTGTAAGTCCTGGAGGATAAATATTAGTAAACCTTGAAGTTTTCTTAAAATAACAAATATATGTAGCAAAATCAGGTTAACTCATTGTTACTTACACATGGTCCTTCACTCTGGACATCCAAACAGAATTATACACACAAAGCTTGTTCAGCACTTAGTTTTGTCTTAGGGGATATGGGTGGGATGTAATTTTGGCTATGGCTGACATTTATGTCTGCCTTCACTGAAATTCAACTGACAAGTTTTCCAACTGCAGGAGCCAGGCACCCTTGGCAAAGCAATGTTTAAACAGGTTGTATGGAGGAGATAACATTTCAGGCAGAGCCCCACCATGAACACAAACACCAGCTTTGACCACGTTCTGTGATGATGGGGCTAGGCTCTAAGCAGCCATGGGAACCACCTGCCCTCTGCTCCTGCAGAAATGTCTGTGTCAACAGAAAGAGATGCCCTGTGGCAAACACCTGGCTGACTGCTGGGCCACACTGGCAGTTGATGAGTACTTCACTCCAGCTGCAACAGATGAGATGCTTACGGCCTATGGACCCAGCTTCTCAGTCCCATGGAACATCTCCTGGAAGTGATGGGAATTTTAAGAACTTCTTAGCAGCCACCAAGTGCTCCTGTTGTACAAACTTTCAAAACAAAGTTTTTTTGGTTTTTGAAGGCTGGTTCCTGAGCCACCCTAAGGCCAGCTTTCCCTGTTGTGCGGCCACTGACCCTATAAAGACAGCTTCCAGTGTGGGTAGGACCTGGAGCATGTGCTAAATCATGCCCAAAATTTTAGGCATGTGTAAAGCCTACAGGAAATGGTCAAGATGCTGAGGATGCCATGGCTATAGCCAGCTTCGAGGCTACTTTTTCCAAGAGCAATAAATCCAGCACTTGTATCTGGACCTGAGTAGAAGGGCCTCACATGTGATTGCCCTTCTTCCTCAACAAGGCACTGCTGTAACATTAACCAAGATCTCCCCTCTAGCTGCAGGACATTTACTATGGGCAAGATGAGATAATCAAACCAAGAGCCTTGCTTACCTTTGTCCATGTCTTTTTCACAAATGAAATTGTTAACATCTTCACAGTAGAAGTCATTCCAGAGCCCAGCATAGATCAACCCGGCACAATCTTCCCCTGGCCCATGCCCGTGACTCCAGTTATCAGGCTGCCCAGTTTTCCAGTTTCTTTCCACAAAAAAGCAAGAGATATGATTGCACAACACAGCACACATGGCAGGTTTTCACCACAAGAAATTAACGAAAACATCATGAGATCTGTTCTGAACGGGAAATACACATTGATACAAACAATACATGACTCTTGCTGAAAATGGAAAACAGATGTGTTACAGAGAAGGGAATCTATTCAGCCTCAGGCTGCCAAAACTCAGAGACCTAAATTTAGACCAATGAACTTTATTTTAGTTTCTGAGTATACATGCACACACAGTGGGAGTGCTCCATGCTCCATGTGCATTGCTCCAAGCCTGCAAAACCTGCACACCTCATTCCTGCTGGCAGATGGGACTGAGAAGAGCCCACAGGCTCAGAGGTACTGCCAAGAGGGCAACAGCCTGCCCTTGCTCTTTGCAAAGGCACTCAGCCCTCTGACTGCACCAAAAGTGAGCATCTTGGGAGGAACAGCAAAGATCCATGTGTTTTAGGGACATGTGCTCAGATGGCAAGGGAATTCTATTGACTTTTAAGAAATGCACATATTTACACACATCTTTTGAGATCATTAGCTTTGATGGCGAAATTGAATGTAACAAGTAAAAAAATATTGCAGCAAGTGTTTCCTCATCCTGTTTTTGTTTAATGAGTGAGAAGCGCTTCCAAACTCAGGACTTAAAAGCTCCATTTTCCTGAAGAAACAGGTTGTTGAAGGGAGGTTGTGATTGCTGGCTGACACAGATCATGCTCAGCTAAAAAACAAGTCTGCCTGACATAGAGCGTCCAACCAGGCATCTGGGAGGACATACAGCTTTCCAGAAATAATGAAGTACTCCAGAAATCTGTAACCAACAGCTCTGAGGTTATGACAGAGTACCTAAAACCATGGTATAGTGGAAATCTACTAAAATCAGCACCTTAAGTAGGATCAGTCACAGTGCTGCCATAAAGAGAAAGAAAGATGAAAACGGGAAAGGAGAGAAAGGGGAAAATATTACGGCTCATTTGAAATTAATCTTTTTCCATGTTTTTCATCTAAATGAACACCAATGAGATCACAGCTAATCATTTCATAACATCTGACTGACTGTGTAGCCTGTTTTTCTGAAGCACAGCATGTTCAGATCTGTAAACTTTTTAGTCTACTCCTCAGCTTTAAAAATTTGGGTGGTTGCAATCTGTTCCATTTAGGACAAATTAGGTGTAGCCCTAGGATTCCTGGAAAGCTGCCAATTCAGTTCCCAGTGGCCAATGTATGGACGCCCTCATTTCATGCATTTTCCTTATGTTGAATGCTTTCCACTTGGATTTGGGCTTCATCTAAAGACTGGTCATTTTTTATCAGAATGAGTACTCTATTTATAGCCAGTTGTAATGCAAATAAGGAAAATTCAAACCAAAACAGTAAAACTGTGCTTTCCATCTCAACTTCGTAATAAAAGTCAGAAGCTAAAGTTTTGGCAAGAAACACTGTGCTGCGTAGTTATGTGATTCTTTCATTCAATATTCAGTTTTCTTCCTGGCAAGGAAAAGAATCCTTGTGCATGGAGAAGGCAGAGAGAAAGAACCCCAGCACCCTTAGTAACAAATTAAATTATTGGCATCTACAACCATCTGGATGTGTTAGATAATTTCTAGATGCTGCTTTTAGAAGTGTCAGCAAGAGTGATAGCATTGCTTTTTATATACGTACGTGTAAACTGGTAAGGATCCATCCAACCATCTCCATTCATTTTCCTTCTCTGAATCTGTTAGTCCAATCCAGAAGCTGCCTTTCCCAAAAATCTGTCTTTTTATCCATTGCTGTGAAAGAAAGATATTAGTCCATAAGAAGGACAACAGTCTTTGGAGCCAATAAACTCTACTGGTTTCATAAGCCTCATTACCAGAATAGGGAGGGCCAGAGAAATTTTTCTAAGCTGATGATATGTTTCAGGAGTTGGCCTTCGGACCCCTTTCCCAGACTAGAATCCCTTTCAGTGTTTGCAATGAGGTAGAGAGAGCTAGGCATGAAAATTAGGTTGACATAAAGTCACAGCTAATATCTTAGAGATACAAATTGAAAAAAGCCCAAAGAGTAAGAAATTGTATCTTGACATCCCCACTGCCAAGTTGAATAGTATTAAAAATATAGTTAGACTAAAGATACTTTAGGGTCATACTAGTCCTAGGCTGTGTGTATTAAATCAGATATTTAAAATTAAATTATATTAACTGCTGCAAAAAATACTTTGATAGTACACAAGGCATAATGGATTCCATCTTTAAAGGTTCAAAACTCCTACAATTCTCAGCAGGTTTTCTGGCTGCTCTGTCCCTACCACCTTCAGGGTCAGCATCAGTTCTGCTCACACTACCCTTCTGCACAGGGAGAAGCTGCTGATCAGGCAGAGGGTGGACAGAACTCTAATGAGTCAATCGATGTGTTTACTTCTACTATATGAATTCATGGTGCTCTCAGCTTCCCACTATCTTGTGGTTTCTACATGTTAAACAACTTCAAACTCCCTCCTTGGAAAACAGCAAGAGAAGGTAATTACCTGCTCCTCTTTGTTGTTGATGATAACCAAGCGTGATGCTCTCTCTTCACAGAATAACTTTGCCTCTTCAAAAATTTCTCTTTCAATTGAAAAGTAGTAGCACTTTTCCGTATAGTTCTTCCAGTGGGGAGAACAACCTGTGATGTGAATTTTTTGTGTTAAGCCTGTTATTGGTAACTCAATGGAGCAGTAATAGGGCCAGTAATAAATAGAGGAACTCATACCCAAACCCATCTACAGCATGCATTGTGTTGATGGCTTACCATTAGCCTCAGGTACACTCGTAGGTTCACTCTGCAGTGCCATTGGCATCCCAGGACCTGGTGGCCCTGGTGGGCCAGGTGGGCCCTTCGGACCAGGCAGCCCAGGGACTCCAGGCAGTCCAGTTATTCCTCGTGGTCCTGGCAACCCTGGGCTTCCCACCGTTCCTTGCAGGCCTTGAAATCCTGGTGGGCCTTGAGGTCCTGGTGGACCATCCTTGCCTGGTGGCCCTGGTGGCCCTGGGTCTCCATTTGGTCCAGGCAGACCTGTCTTGCCAGGAGAACCTCTCTGACCTTTGGAGCCAGGTGATCCTCTTGAACCTTTCCCTCCTTTTTCTCCTGGCGGCCCGGCTGGCCCAGGTGGGCCCTTCTCACCCGCAGGTCCTGGTGGTCCAGGCTCTCCTTTGTCTCCTTTTTGTCCTTTTAGGCCAGCGGGGCCAAGAGGACCTTGAGGGCCTCTGTCACCTTTAGGTCCCCTTGGACCAGGAGGGCCTGGAACAAGGTAAGCATGCAAAGTGGGGATATGCACAGAAAAGAAAACAAAAAAGCCCATGTGGGGTGGGCTTATTCAATACATCTCAGACCAGCACCACTGCATATTTAACAACACAGAAACTGGGTTAACATCTGCTTTTGTCAGTGCTGGTAATAGTGCATCTGCTTTCCAGGCCCTATATACTGTTGTTCTTTCCTTAACCTCCACGAAGTACAGGATACAGAAAATACTCTGATACACCCAGTCACATGAACTGGACAGTGATATCGTGCCCCGGGTGACCAGCCAAGGCACCAGTCCCTGCAAAACTCTGTGCACTACTCTATAGTAATTTATGCACTAGTCCTGTATGTTGGTGGTCCTATTCCCTCACTCTGCCACGCTCCCTTCTCCTTCTACACTCATCTCTTTGCTCTTAGACCCAGGACTTTTCCTCCTGATCCTGTTTGTTGGTCTGTCAATAATGGGGTGTCAAAAAGAGACAAAATGATGGCTAGCGAGCAAAAGGCCAACTGTGGGAAAGACCAGAAGTTGCAAATTGGCCAGCTCTAACAAGACAGGGAGCAATAACCCATGACAGGAAATGGCAATACTATGACAGCAATAAACAACAAAACAATTTGGGATTCTATGCATGGATAAGCAAATCCCTTGTCAATACCTTCCCACCCTCAGCACCATTTCTACATAACTCAAACTCCTCCAGAGATAGATTTCCAAGCTGGAATCATTTAGGCCTAGTTGAAATGAGAACGGTTAAGGTTACTGACATGTAATCTTGGCTCTAAAGCAGCCTTAGTTTATTTGGAGCAAAGGATTTATATTTGTGATTAGAGTTTTAGGCTGGTTCACATCTGATTGGAAATATGAGTGCTCTTTTCATTTGGGATAATATTTGGCTGGGAGAAACTTCCTAAACCTGATGCTATTTATTTCTGGAGAAAATAAAGTATCCCAGTATTAAAAACTAAGCAAAGTAGGATGTTTTCTGGCAGACTAACAACTGGCTTAAAGTGAAATAGCAACTTGTTTTTCAGTAAGGGCGGACCTTTCTGGGAATAGTCCAACATATATTTTTTAGCCATTTCCTCCTTACTGGGGATTGGTTTCTTGATGATCCACACCTTCACTTGCTTATTTTAGAAACTAAATCAAAAGCAGATCCAGTCAGTCAGACAGAATAAAATTTTGCTAAGTCAGAACCTTCTTTAATAACATCCCAATTTTATCTATGTAAAAAAGGCATAGAAAAATTAGTATGGAAAATTCAAGCTACACATACATTTCCAAAGTTTGGGATTAGATAATGGAAAACCCCAGGACTCTGGACTAGCGCGAACTTTCACAGAACTAAAGAAGTCATGCAAGCAGGAATCCACACACACACACACACACACATTATTAGGGGAGCTGCATACCTTGTAGAATAGTGAAGTTCTTGATGAGCTGGCCATGTTTGGAATCCACCAGCTTCATTTCTTCCATGATTACTGACAAATTGGCTACTTCAACATCTAACCTTGACCTCATCAAATCCTGTTGCACCTTGAGAGATGCAGAGTCTATGCGAATATTGGCTAGTGTGCTGTTCATAAAAATCAGCTCATCTGAGTGTTTACTTAAGGTGTCTGTACAAGTTGTCCTGACCTCATTGAGATTGCTCGTCAGTGTCCGTAGGTGATGAGCAGTGTAGCTGATGTTGCTGATGATATTGCCTATATCGGTTTCAAAGACCTGGAACCTTTCTTCTAGATGGCTGAATTTGGCAGCAGTTCTGTTTTCATCTCCTTTATGCTGTTCCTGGAGATCCTTTAGACTTTGTTCGTTGGCTTGGGCAATTGTGGTGATGTTCTCCATCTGCCCACTGAAGGAGCTGAGCTGGTTGTTCATGTCTTCAAGTGTATCATTGTTGGCTTTTGCCATTGCTGAGTTGTTGGCTGCCAAAGCCTGTAAATTGTGTACTTTCTCCTTAAGCCAGTCAGTGTCCTTCCTGGCCTGAAGGATAACCTGCTGCAGATTTTGAAAGTCATTCCTGATTCTTAGAATAGCCGAGCTTGTATCTTCCATTGACTTCTGTAAGACACTGATAAGATTTCTTTGCTGTATTTGAGTCAGGTTTAAGTTGTTCAGGCTCATAATGATAACATTATGAGAATGCTCTTGGCTTTGCAGGTTTGTTTGTATATTACTTGTGTCTTGTTGAAGATTGTTGATATAGCCAGTATATGCCTGAAGAGTCTTATTGACACTGATGATCATTAAAGAGTTACTATCTAAGGCACTTTTCATTTGGTTCTGTCTATCATCTAATACATTTCCAGACTCTTGCAGCTTCTCCAATGTATCTTTGTTTCTGGAAGTTTTCTCTGCAATGTCATGGAGTTGCTGACGAAGAGCCAGAATGTCAGATCTGAAGCTGGACAGTTCAGTGTTAGTATTCAAGGCTTTTTGTCCAGCTTGGTCATCTGTTGTACAGGGGGGAAAAAAAAAGGCTTTAGGGTTTTTTTTTAAACACCGTATAAAACAACACAGTGTATTTTAAGAACAGTCAGGTTGTCGAACTGTTCAGTATCTTTTCCAGAAAAGAGAAACCACTAAACAAAGTTCTGCCTCTAGATAGAGAAAAAAAGTAAAGAGGAATTGATGACGACCTTGTGTCTTGCTGAGGAGAACAAAACGGTGATTCTGTCATCACAAATGGAAAAAACGATGGTTAGATATTGATTAGTATATGCAGTCAAGTAATGCTGTTCTGAATGAAAAATTAAACAATTAAAAACATTAAACAGGTATCAGCGAGTGTAGGCTTTGAAGTTAAAACTGGATTTTGCTGAAAGCTCAGAAGTTTTTTTTGTCTGTTAATGTTTTCTTCTTTCTTCTCATTGCAGGCAGAATACCTTCATTGTGATGTAGTATATATAGTTCCAATTTTTAAAATCTTGGGTTTAGTTTTAAGTAAGTTCTCATATTTATTTTAAAGCAATCTGGGTTAGAGACAAAAGCTTTGCCAGCAGGCTACTTCAGATATGTAAGGTTAAGATATATTTCAGGTTTTCTCTCTAATACATTACTACTGTTTTTAATGACATTTATTTTGCCATTATTGTTTCCTCATGTTCTAAGTTTGAGGAAGGCAAAACCTTTCATATTTGAGGAACACCTCTGCTTGTGCTTACATTGCCCTATGGAATACTTCTGGAAGCTTGTCCAAGTATGATATAGCATTTGAGATTGCACAGCCTATCATCCAGGACATAGAAACCAAGGAAATAAGCAGTCAACACTTGCTTTCAGGGAAGACTCCCTTGCTTGACCTCAATCACTTCACTATTCTGCTTACAGTCCATATATTTTTGTCCTCATCTAAGTGTAGCTCTATTTATGAATTAGACAGTCTGAAGTCCATAATTTCAGATGATGCCAAGAGAGAGCAGTATGGTTTTCATAAATTACAGTGAATACAGCTGTGTATGGAGCTTTTGTCTGGTGTGATTGAATGAGTCATGATGGCAAATGTCAAATGATGGCTTGTGAGACTTCAGCCTGAAGTGTTTATGGAGCCTTCTGTGGACAGACATCTTCCTGAGCACAGTTCCTCTCCCTGCCACTTCTCCCCCAGATCTTCTTAGCTCTGACTCTGTGTTTACCTCTTGGCTATAGCTCGAATTATACTGTTTTCCTAACACAGCTCTGACAACTGCCAGGTCCACATACAGCTAATCCCTGAAGGCCTGTCTTCCATTCCATGCTTTTATCCTCCTGGCCCTACAGCACTTCTCTTACTTTTATGTCCCCTATTCCAACTGCTCCAGAACTTTCCTAACTTCCTCCATGGCAGGTACACTTATATGGGAACTGATGATCCTGAGCATCTCACTGAGCATCCATCCAGCAGAGTATAAAAATGTGTGGGCAAGAAAGAAGCAAAGGTGCTCCAAGTAATGAAAATTTAATCAGCATAATATAATAACCCAAATAGAATCCATAAGGTTGCATGAGCTTTAAAATGTACCATTTACTTCTATAGATGTGTCAGTAAAAGAACATGTCAATGAATTACCCCATGTCTTTGAACTAAGTGCAGTGTGCAAATAGTTTAGAAATCAGCTCCTTTTTGAAGGAAAAAAGTTGTAAAAATTTATAATCAAGATGCAAGCAAGGAAGTTTTCCTAGAAATACAGGTCTCAATACAGGTTTGCGAAACTAGACAAAATTTATTTCAAGAATCACATGCATGTATGTGTATATTAATACTTCTACAATAAAAACTATATGTCTATGTATAGGAAGAAAAGTAAAAATGTACACTTAGAGAGTAGAATCTTTATGCATGATTTTTTGTTACATCTTCCTGAAAATGAAGAACTTTGATACCACTTGGGACACCCAAACAGATAACAATCTTATGTCCTGTATTCCCTGAGATGATTAAGAAACAATTTATGGAAATAATACACTTGCCACAGACATAAGAATTTTGAATAACTGATTATTTGTGTACCTCATAAAATGGCCCTCAGTTTTGAATCTTAATTGCTAAACCAGCATCAAGATGACTGGGTGACAGGTGCTCATTTTATGTAGAATCTTTCATGCTGTAGAACAGCTTCTGCTATGTTGTACATCTTTATCTCAGAGAAGATTCTCTCCTCAGGACAACATTTAAGTGGCTGTTTATTTAAGTTTAAATGCTTTCAGAGTGACTTCAGTGAGAACTGTAAATTTTGAAGTATTCTTAAAATGCTCTTCTAAGTAGAGCTGATCTGAACTATTTTTAAGTACTTTCCCAAGTACTTGAGAAACTGGAAGTGCTGTATCTTGTCATAGGCAGAGATTTCCTGCCTCAGACAAATGTCCTGCCTCAATCTTCCAGAACACCCCAGGTCCATAACACAAAGGGGCTTTGCTTGTGTGTAGATTACCTAATTTCTTCAGATCACTCTCCACTTCTGTGAGCTTTTCTGTGTATCTTCTGTGGGATGTTTCCAGGCCACCTGTCACATTGTCCATTTTTTCTACAACTAGGGAAGAGAGAACAGCATGTTATGGAAAGCAGAAAAGGGAAATGATGAAAGACTAGTAAACAATCTAGCAAACAAAACCCCACACCACTTGCATGAAACAGTAAAAAAAGAAAACACCTTAAAATTGCCTTGCTTGCCATTACACTCTGCTGTTGCTCTGTGAAATGTTGGAAGGATGAGTTCCTATTTGCTGGTGGACCCAGAATTCTTCTACTTCCTCAGTCTGCCAGCAGTCCCTAAGCAATCTTTTTTGCCCATGAGCAATCTCTCTCCTGAATGAGGAAATCCCTCTTTGTGGGTTTTCCTCACAAAGTCTTTTAACAGTATTTCCATGCTTCAAGCACAGTGCTGTGTGGCAAAGGAAAACTGATTGCTAAAGGCTCAGATGCGTGAAAGAAAATTTCCTTTAATTTTGCTATGAGCTATTTCTCCTTAAAAAGAACTTTTTTTCTTGTGCCTTTTCATCATTAAAAGTTAGCACCTGGATAGCAAACTTAGGACTGAGATAGTAACTGCTAAATGTTTCGGGGGTTTTTAAACATATTGATGACGGTAAAGATCACTCAAAACAGTCTTGAAATGATTCTGCCTTATTAAGATTGAAAGGTCATTCAGGAAATGCGGATTTATGACTGACGTGCCCTTTATTTTGTAATGCCTGAGCACTTTTCTTGTCACTGAGACATTCAATTATTTGATGAAATTAATATGGGAATGGAAAAAGCAGAGCAACAAATAAACAGCCTGGGTGGCTTCCAGTGGCAAAAATGTGAAATGCTTGCAAGGTTAGAGGTAGCCTACAGCTTTCACACCAAACTTTGTCTAAAAGCCTTTTGTATTCAAGCCACAACCAGGGGTAGAAATTGCTTCTCATCGTGAGATTATTTAGTCTTTTTGCTACACTGGGAGCAGAATGGGTCTGTAACAACCCTGGGAGAGGCTACACGAGTTATGGTGCCAGCTCCTTCTCTCAAACAGAATAAATAAAGTGTTTCCCATGTTTTGAGGCTCTGTAAACCTGTTTGGAGTAGAGGTACCTCTAAATCTTTCTGATTGTGAAATGATCTGCAGCTAGGAAGGAGTCTCATAAAAATTGTTGCTATGTAAAGATTTGGATTTTCACAAGAAGTTAAAATGTAGGGATCTTTTGCTGCTCATAAATGACCACCTGAATCTCAGACCTTTAAAGTGTAGTCTATCAGGTGCTCCTTCTTTATTAACTTCTGCATTTGTTTTTCTGATTCTGGGTACCACAGTTACATGGGAAGCTTTTACTGCTTCCCCAAAACCAACATAAGAAAAACTGGTCAAGACTATCTGATGGAACAGCACTAGGAGTTACAAGAGAGAAAAAGTCTCAGGGTCTTCAGAGAGACCATACACCCTTTGGTGAATTACCTGCCTGCTCCTTTGCAGGCTGCCAACAAGCCAGCAAAACAGAGACTGCACTGTGTGTGCAGTCAGAGTGTGGCTTTCTGTACTTGCAATGATGACAGATTGCTTGTTAAACACCAGACCCATGCTACAATAATGACTTTGCTTTTTCAGAGGGACAATTGATCAATACCTTCTGCTTTAGAAAGCATTTTTCTTCCCATTATAGCACTAATTTTTCACTGGTTCTTCTGCCCATTAAACTTGTCAAAATGCTATATGCCATTTTTCCTAAATGAAGACAGAGTTGATTCTCTGTTTGTCCTGCGCTGCTGTCTTCCAGGCTGGAGCCCAGATCAGCAAAGGTCCTTCAGCTACTTCTGACACTCCACTGATGCACGTATACACCTATGCATCATGTGCAGTGAGAGTGAGGACTTGGCTTTTCCTTCTGGCTCTAGGCAGAAGTCTCAGTCTGTGGTGTTCCCCTTTGTTTACAAATAGTCACTGCCAGGGCACTTAGAGGGACCTTATGAAATCATCTGTATTTAAAAAGCAGGCCTAATTCAAGTGTTTCTGCTGAACTCGTGCCTTGACTAGCAATGCCACATCACCTCTGGCTCTTGTTAATTCAGATTTAGTGTAGTATTCAACTGTTATCCCCAGTTACGCAACACACTTGGAGTTGGCAAATGAATATATATTATCAGTAATTAAATGAAAAATATAATTTCTTCCTTTTGCTGTCCAAATGAATGTCAGTTTATACTTCAGATCTGAAGTTTGTAAAACTAAACTACCATATAACAAGTATGTTTTCATGGTTGAATGAAATCTAACAGTGGAAGCTTGAGTTAAAATATAACCCTGAAGAGTCCAAAGCAAATGAAAACAGTAGTAATCCTATCAATAAGTAGTTATCTGGCAGTTAAATGAGACTGAACAGATGTAATTATACAACAGCATATGGTATTTTCATTCTTCAAATTGAGAAAAAACCCCAAACCATCCAACTCCAGCAGCAGGAACAGAAGAGGTCTCTGAAAACGTGACTGCAGGGGTAGCTCAAGGGCTAAGCTGCCATCCCATAGATAAACCAGTGCATGTATCTGCTTTATACAGGGGTGAGATCTTAGCCTCCATGGGTTTGAGGAACTTGAACCCCTGCCCAAACTCCTTCCCAAAGCAAGTGGTAGCTGATTTGCTTTTCTTGCTATTGCCCTGCAAGTGGAAAGGATGAATTTGGGAGAGAATGAGTAGGGAGAGGCCAATGTTGGGTTTCGTTGCTCTTGATGTCCAAAGAGGTCATATGGACCAATCTGTTATTGGGAATGTCTTTCCTTCCTTGGTAGTAGCTCCCACCACTATCTCTGGATGGAGCCTTCAGTGATAGCTGAGCATGTGGAACACTCTCAGAAGTGAAAGTCAGCCTCTAGTGAGTGGCCTAGACTTGAACAGTCACTTTCCACCTTCTCCAGAAAAAGGCAAACAGGCAGATCAGCTGTAGTATCCCACACAAAAGGCCACTCTGCAGCTCCCAACAATATGCCCACTCTTAAAAGGGCAAAGCTGTGTATGTCTTAACTTGTTTTTGGCTAACTTTCACCTTAATTCACACCTTGGTCTTTCTGCATTGCCATCTCAATTTCTGACGAGATCACAGTGGAAAATGTGGAAGATCCTCTAAAGGAAGCCAAAATTTCAAGTAGTTGCTGACCAGAACAGTGAGGACTATCCAAGTCACTATAACAAAATGTGCCATCTCACCAGGATGTGCTGGCCCCAGGTAACGGCAGGCAAACTATGTCTGGCAGACAGATAAAAGAAGTAGATGAAAGTCATGGTGGGCATTACTCAAGAAACTTGAAAACAAGGACCGACTAGAAAATAAAAACCACCAGAAATTCAAGCTGCAAGCATTCCCTTACTGGAATGAATCACAGGAAGATCATTCATCTTCAATAGACTAATCTGATACTGGCTGGTGCCAGAAAAATTATAACTTTGTATTTTTAATTTAATTTAATAAAGTATTTGCAAAAATTAAAGATTGCTTTATTTGTGTTTTAAACAATAATTTGTCTTCTCAAAGCAGAAGAATACTAAACTTGCCTCATTATTCCTTCATGTTTTGTTTCCTTGTTATTCATTCATGTTTTGGTTTCAGGTTTCTCCAACATACTATGTAATTTTTACCACTAAAAAACACTCAACACTCTGTGTTGACTTTGCCTCCCATTGAGTTACTTCTTTGCTTGCCATATTTAATCCCTGATTAGTAGTTTTAACGTTTTAAATCACAAAGGATATTTAACATAGGAAATGAAAGTTTTAAAAGTAGTTTTGGGCTTTATAAACATAAATGTGGGAGGCAAATTTAATGGAAACTTAGCTAAGAGACTGAAAGAATCCCTGATGCCAGCAGAATTCCTTCTTTCAGTGTAATATTGCAGTAAAAAGGACAAGCCAAATTCTGATACAGAGAGGAGAGTTCAAGAACTCTATACTTGTATTCTGAGTCTTGTTCTTCCTTTAAGGCCCAATCCCTTCTCAACAATCAAAAATTGCAGTAATTAATTTGAATATGTACTGTCAGCTGGGGTTTTATCTAATTTATGTTTTCCCTGAAAATTAGCAGGTAGGTACCCTGAAGATAAAGTTCCTAAACTGCAGGTACAAAGGGCAGAATTAATGCCTGACATATGACCACTTGCTGCTTGGTGTTACAGAAGGAATACTTGGATTCAACAAGACTTTTGTCTCATAGCCTTTTTTCCTTGGCATTCAAATCTTGCAGTCACCAAGTTGGTGAGCAGTGGAGCAGTGGTCACCAAAATATCTTAGGGTCTGCAAACAAGATATGCGTTATCCACCTTCCTAAAATCCCTTTTACATTTATTTGTGCAAGAGGGAATTATTTTGTCCTTGTCCTGGATAGCTGTGATTTGATACTGCTATGACAGAAAGACTCATTCCTAGTCAGTGACTGCTCATTCAAAGAAGGAAGTTCAGAAATGAGTGAAGCAAAGCCTTCTTTCTTGAGCTTCAAGAAGAGAGCAAAGCTTGGGGGAAAGATGGTGCTAGGGGCCCCCATAGAGAAAGAAGCCTGAAAACTAGATTGAAATGAAGAAGACAAACTCCTTCTCCCAAAGTCTTCTGGACAGTCCTTTCTGCTACTGCTTCCCCCACACATGCAATCATTTGCCAAAGCAAGACAAAGAGCAGTAGTCTCTCCAGCTTGATATGCTGCATGTGATGCTGGGTACTGGCTGAGTCTTCTGGGAAGCCCCAGAACTGACAGCCTTATTTAAAACTCTTGAGGGAAATTCTGTTAAATCCCAGTCGTTTAGTGGCTGGGTTAAGTCTGGAAAGATCCCATTCTCATCTGATGTAAGCAGACCTCTGCAGATTTATATCTGCAAAAGGCCTCCCCTAATCCATGTGACTAAATGATCTTATATTTATAGATCAAGAATAAGTTTTAGAATCCTGGAAGGTTTTTTGTTGCTCAAAATCTGACTTCCAGAGACCAGTTACTTTGGGAGATGTATTCACATAGATGTACTGCATTTTTTTTACAGTTGATGTAAATTTGCCACCTTCTGCTTTATCATGAAACAGGATTACCTAAGTCTCTCTATCTGTTCCTCACATTCTCTCTTTCCCCTGGATAAATCTTCCATCTAAACCAAATAGTTTTAATTTTCTCCCACTCAAAACTATGCCAAATCCTCTTAAATAATTATTTATCCTTTCTATTTCTACAATTTCCTTTTCTTTCCCTGGCAAAGGACCAGAGGTGATGTCAGCTCTGCTATGAGCACAGCTGTTGGCAGCACAGGATGCACTGCATGCTAATCACATGAGTATTTACCCAGCTCCTTGGAAGGGTTTTGAAGCTACTCTCAGATCCATACTCAGACAGGTAGTTTAGAGCTAGTTTGGTTTTCTCTGCAACAAGCTGTGATACCCTGTTATAATGCTCACAATGATGTTGTTCACTTTCTTTTTCCCACCAGAAATTAATATCTTATTTAACTTATTACAGCTGTAACTGCACAATAAGCAGGTATTTACATAAAAAAAAATTCTATAAATGCCTAAGTGGCTACAGTTAATTAGTGATAAGGATTTCTGGGAATGTTTCCCATGTTTCTGAAGCCATGTTTCCCAATGTGCCCAACTAATGACTTGCACAAAGGAAATTCTCTCCATTACTGGGTTGCTCAACTACCAGAATCTTTGAAATTACTGTTAAAAGCATCTAAGTGACTTTGTTCAGCACAATTATTGTGGATAGTCAATACACTGGCACCTCCTGGTTTAATTTTTCTTCTTCCAGATATTTCAAAGTAATATTGATACTACATTTTGTTCCTATGATAAATATATTAGTAAAATATTCCTGGCTGTTGCACATGTTACACAGCTTTGTGCCTTCCAGTACTCCCTCTTGGTGGAGGAATGATAATTTTGTTTTAACTTTCCTTTCAAATGTGTAATCCAGTTTCAAAATGTCATAGTTTTTTGAAAGTTTAATTCTAAGGTTGCAGTTTGTTGTTATGTATGTACAAAAAGCCAACATTGCTCAAGTACTGATATTTAGGCTAAAATGTGACAAATTGCCTGGCTATCCAATAAGTCACAATGTGGATGGTCATCTGAAAGTGAAATGTTGGTCTCAATGTATACGTACCTTTGTATCCCAGAATGGCTACTGTGATTGTTAACAGGGCACATAAAATGTATAATAAGATGATGGAGAACTTCAGTGCCCAGTTATTTTTACACTTGGTACATTGGCTCCCCTCCTGAATACCTGCAACAGAAGATTTAAAGAAATTTAAAACAATGGCAAAGAACACATTGCTGGGTTTATCTCCCCATTTCCTTTCCTCTGTTTTCTAAAGAGTAAATTATTTATCTAGGCAGATGATGTTTACATATGGGGTGCCTATTTGCCTATGCTGCCAGGATGAAACACCATGATGGTTAAAACATCCTCTCAGTGAAACAATCACTTTGGGATTTTAGCATGTGTAAGAGAAGTAGGTTGTGCTTCACTGGAAACCTGTGGCTTTCCTGAGAGGTGGCTATTTTCTGATTGTGCTAACAAGACTATGATGAGCTTTGGAAATAAAACCTTTATTAGCATCTCCTCTGTCAGGTATCACACTGTCTTAGCATTTGGTATTCCTGTGGGGGCAATAGGACACAACAAATGTTCTGGCAGAAAAAAGTCACAGAAATTAAAGAGCACTGTAAAAACCTGGTAGGAGTAGTTCTGCTTTGTAGCAATCACCACAGATAGTTACCATGCAAACACTTTCTTTCCACAACGAGACTTTTTGCATATTTTTGGGGATTTTGGAGAACACTATTTCCACAGAAAAGATGAGGTGCTTTACTGATACAGCCATCCATTCATCCATGGAAAAAATGCTGGTGAATTTCTCTTTGTGGACAAGCTTAAGAAAAATGGCCTCAAATTGATGAAAGAAAACAGAGCTTTACTATTCTATATTTAAAATTTTTGCAGAATGGCTTGATATCTTTGAGTCTATTGGGGAAGCAATTTTCCTCTCTTAGGGATACAATTTTCCTCTTTTGTGCTCCTTGGGAATAGCTCAAGAGCATTGGAAGCATGGATTATTAATCAGAAGCACACATGTGTGAAAACCTGAAAACTGGACCAATGTGCTGGAAGAAATAGGCAGGATTTATCCATCTTTCCAAGGTGTATTAAGCAGGCCAGGATTAATGTAACTCTCTCTGTGTGTCAGAAAATGCATTTCTTTGATATTTCACTCTACTTGTGTACTATTAGGGGAGTCCCACAGGAAAGCTTTAAGCTCTAATAAATTCTATGTACCAGATTACTTAACTAATCAAAACTTGCTCTGTAGCTTTTTATGAGTAACTTATATTTCTCCTGAGGCCTAAAGCACAGATGATTTTGCTTTTTCAAACTCATGACCTTCTGCAGAGTGGTTTGTTATTTTTATTTTTTTAAGAGAAAAGCACAGGCTTTTCTTCCCCTGGGTTCAAGAAGCATGGGTGACCAATGTAATGAGTTAAGTCAACTGCATTTCTTTCTCCAATGACATCATCCAATGACTTCCATCAAACCTAAAGCACTTGAAGAAGGAAGGATTTCCATATTGGAACAACTGAGGAAGAGGATTTATACAAAGTTTTTTCACAAAGCATTTTCTTCAATCCTCTCTGCACATATACTCTTGGCTAAGGCAGAAATGCGTCTCTTGCAGGTCTTTTCCACATTACACCATCACATGTTTTTTCTAAACTTTTGAGATGTGACATCACATTCTGTTGCCATGTGATTAGTGATGTCATAGCTTTGGGTTCCTTGTGGGAACATCTGGTTCTTTTTTCAAGAACATTATGGGAAAATGAGACAAAGACTTGTAACATAAACTCAGGAATAGAAATTCCAGAGTGTAAAGGCTTCTCTTCTGCCTGTGAGGTGGGAAGGGAGGGAGATGGCACAGAGACAGACTGTTGCATAGCCCATTTATTGGTGACTTGGACTTGGAAGGGTGGTAACTCCTGCACCACAAAAGAAAAGGTGAAGGGTCCATAATTCAGTTGTCAGGTTTGCTCATGGATCCTGATGCATGGGCTGGCTTGCTTTCTTTGGTTTACAGTCTCAAGGAGTTTGTTGGTGAGGAAACTCTAACTGCTGAAAAAGCAGGGAAGGGAAAGTGCAGTTTTCTAAATGTTTTCAATAGGTATTCAGAGACTGAAATGATTTCACAGTGGGAACTTGGTGGTGTCTGGAGCACCATTTTCCTGCTCTTAGCCAGTACCAATGGGCTCATTGAACCCCTGTGCACTAAATGCAAGGTTCCTTTGCTAAAGGGTTTAAAACTGAGATTCCAATTTGGTTGTCTTTGAAAGTCCCACATATTCAAAAACAAGCTCTGCTCAAAACTCACATCACATTCACTTTCTAAATACACAAATAAACAGAAAGCTTAATCCTCCTTATTTTAATGTTAATTGAAGCAGGCCTAGATCCTTATCTGGGAAGAATGATGGAGTGCAGAGGTACAAAACACAGAGAAAGGCAGAAGTAAAAACAAAGCCTTTGGCAGCAATTGCATAAGGAGAAGTTTCACTTGATAAGTGTCTCATAGTAAGATTACTCATTTTATGACATGACCTGCTTTCTGTCACTGTACTCTGGCTTCCTGGGTAGTGTAACGAGCTGAAACTTCACCGATGTCACTGGATGTATTGCAGTTCAGCATCAAGCATCATGTATGTTCCAGTGCTTCATAGGGATCTAGTTTCACTTCTCTCAACCCTCTCTACCTCTGGCTCAATAAAACAGCACTTTGGCTTTTTGGAACTTTTAGTTTCAGTGTATTTCAAACTGACATCAGAACAGCACCCCAACAAAAGCCAGACCTTTCTATCCTTTAACAGTTCAGCACGGTTGATATCAGTAACACAGGCACATCACACTAAAACAATCATACAGGCTGGAGTGATTCCATTAACTAACTGGCCTGGAACTCTGTATTGCATTCCTTGCTGGGGCTTTCTGCCTGTCAGCCTAAAGCTACATCTGATTGCCAATGAACCCCTGCTACCCTCGTCTAACGTGACCTAGGTCCAGGGCTGGAGTGAAAAGCCAGGGAGCTCTAACAGGCTCCTTTGTTTTGTTTTACTTACAATGCAGTAAAATCTTTCAGAGCAGTTATATTTGCTCTTTATTACAAACATGTAGTGCTTAACTCTGCTGCTAGTAACACATGATTTTCTAGTTTACTAAACATATAAAAAACTACTACAAAAATACCAAAGACAGAAGTACCCCTTGAAGAAAAGATTTGGAAGACTCATTCTGATGTCTTTCTGAGCAATTAAATATATCAGGCTATATGCAAAGCCAAAAGCCAGGAATGCAACCCTCTCTGTATAGGGATGAACTACAGTATACTCAGGGCTCCCCAAACTCCCCAGCACATACCCTGACTTCAGCTTGCTGTTTTATTCTTCCCCACTACCTCACTTAAGGATCACGCCCAAATAAGATTGTTCTGATATAGGAGATGCATTTACTCCATATTGTGAAGACACATTTTTATTCAAAGGTTGTTCTGAAAAGATGAGATAGCCAAATTATTAAGCAAAATCAAATGGGAGACAAAAATGCTTACTGTGATTACACAAAACCCAGTAGGCTGGCATAAAATCATGCAGGTTTACACAAAAGCTGTGAGTTGAGGCTTGAAGGAGCCCATGCTCGGGCTATAATTTGGCAGAACTTCCTCGGTTTTATCCACTAGACTGCTTGCTGTTATGACTGACCTAAAATGAAAAATTCTTCCAGGAGATGTATCACATCTCATGTAGCAGTAGAAAGGGGTTTTAACCCTTTAAGTGTGGCGGAAATAAGATGCACAGCTACATGGTCATCTTTCATGATAAAAAGAGACAAGTTTATTCAGAAACACACTTGGTTTTATAGCATGACTTGCAATTCCAAGAGTAGAGAAGAGGTGATTGGTTCAGAGAGAAGACACCCCATTCCCAGGGCCTGGTCATGTACCACAACAGGTGTTCTATCTTGTTAGTAATTCCTTTTTATTTTGACCAAATTATCACCCCGGGAGAAATTCTCCCTAGCCTTGAGCTGGACCAGCTTATCGGCTGGGAACAGAGCTTTCTCAATACGTGTCCTACAATCTCATGTAGAAAGATGTAGACTAAATGGAAAGGGAAAGACCCTACACACACATCCCACTGGCAGAACAAATGTAAAACCTGCAGAAGGGCATTCTTGGCTGAAGTCAGCTCTTCTCCATTTGTTAATGATGCTCCTAGTACAGCACACTCCTCTCTGTGCCCTGTACACGTGTTTTCAATGTTGGTCTGCTCCCAGACATTTGTCACTGACTTCCAAACCCAGGGAGCCGAGGTCACTTCCGCATGACGTGCATTTCTCACTGCCGATTTGATCAATGTTTAATAAATATCAGATGGGACGCAATGTGCCTCATTTCACTGGACACATGCTTTTTTCCATTCCTTTCCCTGACTTATTTTAATAAGAGTGCTGGTTTTTCTGCCTCACTGTTGGGAAGACATCTGGCCAAACAGACAGCAACCTAGTACAAAGAGATCCTGCTGGCTCACATGCTTTGGGGACCCCCTTCTCTGCAAACCAAAATGCTCACAAAAAAATATGCAAGTGAGACATCCCCCTGTTACCAGGCTTTGTAGTATTTGTTTTTATAGCATTGCATTCCAGTGACTGAAGACTTTGTTCTCACGCAGGGGGTATACATCTGCAGATTCCTTTTGGACTCCAATAAGAGGTTTTGCTGAAGGAGGAGCTGGTTTTTGGGGGTTTTATTTGTTTGGGGGATTTTTGTTATTGTTGTTTTGTTCTATGGTTTTAATGGGAGACTAAATATCTTTGCTCTTTGTAACCACCTTAAAAAATGCCTGACTCCTCAACTGTCTTACACTTCAGAAGTCCATCTTTGAACACTGGAATATGACATGCACACACTTTTTTTTTTCCCTCCCCCCTGAATAATTCTCTTACAAGTATTTGCCTCTCTGTTCTTTTCTTGGCTCTGGCTGCAAGATCATTGGTGGCCTCATAATATTTCTGCTAGCAAATCAATTTTGACAAATATGCAAGGTTTCCTTCATAAGCCTGACAAGAAATGTACTGATAAGATAAAGAAATGTAGTGCAGGAAACGAAAATACATTAGTTTGGAGGGGTTTTCCCCAGTGTGATTCACTGAAAAGAGATAACATCCCTTGAATTTTGGAA